CGGCGGCATATTCGCCAATACCGATATATCGGCGACAGGCTCATATCGGCCGATAATATCGGCTAAACGATATATCGGTCGGCCTCTAATACATAGTCATAATCTAAGACAGACTATACTTGCTCCGTCCTATCTTTCTGACCTACTCTCTTCCTATATTCCTTCTCGCTCACTCTGGTCTTCTAGTTCAGAACTACTTTGTGTGCCTAGGTTCCTCTTATCTTATCAAACTTTGGAACTCGCTCCTCTTGGCACTCAGAACAGTTACCTCTTTCAGTGAATTTAAATCAAAGCTTAAAACATATTTGTTTAATCAACACTATCTCTAAATAGCATTGTGTATTTGTCCCATATGTATTCTTTTCTATGTCTTTATTACTTAATTTGTGTTATATGCAACTGCATTATTTGTGACTGCATTGGGCAAATGTCCAATGACCACTTAATTGCTACTTTGTAATGAGTATTTGTTGTATTGGTGTACCTTGTAGAGCCTGGGAAGGGTGCTATATAAATTAAACGCATTATTATTATCGTCATCGCATCTCGTGTGCCACTGATAAGGCAGCCTGATGCACACCTAAAATTAGAATGCAACGTTTTTGCATTTGAATGGATTTTTATTTTCTGTAAATGTGAAGCGTCTTGACGTGTGTGTGTGTGTTTCAGGTGTCTCCGTACGCTGATAACCCATGTGTCGAGTGTCAGTGTGACACGAGAGGTTCTGCGAGTCCCGTGTGCATCAGAGACGATAATCACGCGAACCCCGACGCAGGTGGAGTATGGCTTCATCTGCTCGTCTGGATGCAGTGTGTCTGAACGCAGCAGTGTTTGAGCTGATGCTGCTGTGTGTGTTTTGCAGGTCTGTCCGCCGGTCAGTGTTTGTGTAAGGAGGGTTTTGCGGGTGAGAAGTGCGACCGCTGTGCGTTCGGATTCAGGGATTTCCCACAATGCACTCGCTGTGAGTGTAACCTGGCTGGAAGCCACAACGTCGACCCCTGCAGCGAGTGTGTGTGCAAGGTACTGTGAAACACACACACAATCACACACACACACACTCGCGCACACACACAATCATTTCACTAACAGCATCAGCAAGTAAATAAACAACAACGAGAAAACAAGAGGAGTGACAGATGTGAATTTCTAAGTCTCTAATTGATCAAAACTTTGCTGTTTCACACACAATCTCTTCACGTCTCCTGTCTCTGGTTGATAGTTTAGAGTGTTTTATCCAGTAAAAGCTCTTTTAGTGTAATTGTACAAGCGTCCAGCTTCAGCTGGAGCTTCTCGTGTCAAATCTTGACTGATTTTGATCAAGTAAGCGTCAGAATAACTGCAGTAATATCTCCAGATGAACACTTACTGGACTGAAGCAGCTCAGCTTTACTTGATTCTCCATCAATCATGTTTTAGAGTCTCAAATCTGATCCTCAGGATCTTTTGAGGAGCGTTTGTTTCCAGAAGCTTTACTTTCACTGTTCCTCAGCGGAGGAATGATCTTCACAAGCCTCCAGAACATCTCAAATCTTCTGAGGAGCCTTTATTTCTTCATCTCTCAATCACCGCATTATATGTTTGGAGCATTTCAATCTCATCTTATTGAGACATATTACTGCAGATATAGAGCGATGACTGATATTTAGATAATTTTATCTCAGTATCTGCTCTAAACTGTTAGAAAGATCTCACTGATTTACATTACAAGCAGCAGAATTTCATCACATAAATATCTGCAATATTTTTGCTCAGTTTGGGTCTCTGAATAAAATTGAGCTGTCCTTTCCTCCATATTCTCACTATGTCAGACTATATGAGGCATAAACGCCTGATGGAGCAAATATCAAAAGCTTTTATATTTGTCTAAAGGTTCATTAAACTGTACCATGTTAGATTTTTCTGACTATTATTTCATGTGTTAGGCTGTACAGGGCTGTAATCCTCATCTCTCTCTCTCTCTCGCTCTCTCTCTCGCTCTCGCTCTCTCTCTCTCTCTCTCTCTCTCGCTCTCGCTCGCACGCACACACACACGATGCGCAAAACTCCGCATTTGAACAGTCAATAGCAAATACTTAAACTAATAACAAAACAG